AAGATCAATACTCAATTTTTGTTCTTAGGCTAGGGAAATAAAAGCTAATCTCGAACAATGTGATTGAAACACTTCTCTCAAAAGTAGTCACATAAAGCAACCCAGATACATGCAAAGAAGTTGGTATTTTCCAAGCTTGCTCAGACGCTGCTGAGGAGCTTTTTCTTTGCAGGTAATAGGAGCAAGGCACACTGCTGCCACAGCATCTTGCTAAATTTATAAGTAACGAGCAACTTTTGGCAATTTGATGGTGGTCAATGTTCATGTTTTAGGGAAATGTTTTTCTAGCTTGGCTGCTCTGTTACAAATGAGTGCAGTGGAACCACGGAGGTGGTTGCTGACCGCGCCGTGAAACGCACTGCAACATCACTGTATAATTAGCTCTAACAGGGAAGTCAGTGTAGCTTTTAAAACCTTCATCTTCTACACCTGTAAATGCTCCCAGCTGCAAATGTAGACTCTCACCTAGTAAACATGCATGCACTTAAAAAAAGAGCCTTACCAGGGCTTTGGGTTTTCCTGGGAAGCCCGCAGGGAGCTGCTGGCCTCCCTAGCGGTGGGGACCCCGGCTCCTGCAGCGCCTGGTGTTAGTTTTTGCCTTCTAGGTGAATTCCCTGGATTCCTCGAGCGCGGGGCTGTTTTATCCGGGCCCCGACGTTCCCGAGGGATGCGGCCCTCGGTGGCACCGTCGCCGCCGCGGCTGGACGTGTGCGGCCCGCGACGCCGCTGGCGCCGGAGCTCATCCTCGGCCAGCTTGCCTGGTACCTTTAGCTTTCGTTGAGGATTGAAGCTCTGCTTTCGTTCGGCCTCCGCAGCCTGTGGCATGTCAGCTAGGGAGATAAGACTTCAGAGTTAAGAAAAATATATATGATAGTCCTTCTTTTTGATCTCTGATCCCCAAATTGTGCTTGGAAATACAGCCTGGCAGCTATGTCGAAAGATAGGGGCTTCATCTATATCATATCCTAGGGGCTTAAGTGCCTTTACATGTAGGATGATAGTTTTCCCCATCACACTGGTTAGACAGATAGCAAATGTGTCCTGATTTTCTCCTTCATCCATGCCCTCTCCCTGCTTCTGTATATTTTTGGGAATGGGTAGACAGCACCTACCCTTTAGGTACCAAGGGAGGGAAAAGGTGCAGTATTTCTTGCATGCATTTTGTGACCTTGGCATGTGTGGCTTGATGATTCCTCTTGGCTTGCTCTTGTCTCTTGGTGTCTGTTTAACTTCTCTCAGCCCGTGATGTCCCTTCAAGGACACCCAGCTCTGTGGAAGCAACGTGTTTCCGTGGCCTCTCTTGACCCTGGGAAGGTGCAGTTGGTTACCCTGAATAGTGGCATGATGGAAGCAGCAGTTGCTTGGAGCATCCATTGATAGCAAATTAGATGTGTTTGCTACAGAAATTTGCTCCGAATGGAAAAACACCTTTGAGAGATCAGTGGATATATAATCATATTTAACTGTGAACAGAAGGCAGTGGAAATGGATTGAAGCAAGAAGCACTACTTTGTCTGGGATAGCATAACCTGTATTATGTCCTACATGACACAGAAGGACTTTGGGAGCAGATAGGGGGTTAATTATATATGGGGAAGTTGGAAGCCAGGTGTTTTGGTGCCCAATGGGCGTCCAACTAAATACAGAACTTCACAGAATCGCAGAATGGTTGAGGCTGGAAGGGCCCTCTAGGGATCACCTAGTCCAACCCCCCTGTTCCAGCAGGGACACCCAGAGCACATGGCACAGGGTGGCATCCAGGCGGGTTTGGAAGATCTCCAGAGAAGGAGACTCCACAACCTCCCTGGGCAGCCTGTGCCAGGGCTCTGGCACCCTCAAAGTAGAGAAGTTCTTCCTCATGTGGAGATGGGAGTTCCTGCGAATCAACTTGTACCCCTTGTCCTGTCACTGACCACCACAGAGAAGAGCCTGGCCCCATCCTCTCTACATCCTCCTCTCAGGTACTTGCACTTGTTGATCAGGTCCCTCTCAGGCTTCTCTTCTCCAGGCTGACGAGGCCCCGCTCGCTCGGTCTTTCCCTGTTGGAGGAGGGAACGGTGGGAGCCGGCGAGGTGCCGGGTTGGATCCAAGCGCTCGGCGCGCTGCATGTTCAGGCACCACATGGATGCGTCCGCAGCGCCACCGCGCAGAGCGAGGCTGAGATTTACAGCCACAGCCTCCGCGTGCCCTGAATTGCAGCAGCCTCCACCCAGCCCAGCGCACGGGCTGAGGGAATTTCTATATCCCGAGTCCTGCCAGAGCTGCCTTTTGTCTTCAGGCTTGAATACCCCCATCTTAGTCTGCATAAACACAGTTATTAATATAGGGTCAGTTATAATCTCCAGAAGGATTTTGCTCATGATGGGTTTAAATTCTCAGGATTTATTAATGTTTTTATCTCTAAGGGCAGTGTGTTACTTGCGCACACTTTTTATTTTTATTTATTGGTATGAAGACTAGTTATTCCCTTCCACATCAAACTTAGTGGTGGAGGGAGGTTAATTTAATGGCTTTCTATAGTGCAGGTTGAATATGGCATTATTTTCCGAGTGGGCAAGCTGGTCTGTAAGAGCAGCTCTTTCATAAAGACCTTCAGCTTTCATGCTGAGAAGATGAATAGTTACTATTGGTGGGACCTGGTGACTCCTTGGAGAGCAGTGAACCCATCTAGTACCTGCTTTCAAGCCAGCTGAATAGTGCCCCTGTCTTGCAAGGACTTTCCTGGCCTCTGTGTTCAGTGGTCCCGATCCCAAGAGCCTTGCAGAGTCCTGGGATAAAGGGAAAAAAAGGGAATTTGGCTGCTGCGGGAAGAAGGAGCCTGTTAGCACCATAGCATGTTCTGCACGCTTGGTTTTCCCACCGTAGAACAGAGGTAGATTTGGAGAGTGGGGGGAAACCATGTACATATGTGACAGTACCTAAGCTCAGGAGTTGAGCCTGGAGGAGATCTGGAGTTGTCATCACTGGATGTATGGAGGAGACTCCATGGGAATGGTTGAGGTAAAGCTGATCTGTCTTCTGGACAGCAGGGAGGGCTAAAGTCCTTCCAGGTCTCTCCACGCACTCATTATTGGCTAAAATAAAAACATATTCCTTGTGTGGTGAAACCTGCAGCAGGGCAGTGGTCGAGAAGACCTCTTTGTGTTACACAGAGCTTCTCTCTGGAACTTAGATGTTTCTCAGTGCCTTACCCTGTTTCGTTGGACTTGCATCCCTGAGCTCCCGCTGATTTAGTGACACTGCAGATGGGAAGCAGGAAGAGTTGGGTGTGAGGAGCGTTTTCCAAAGGGAAGTGGTTTGGAATGGAGTATTAACCAAATGCAAAGCTGATCTGAGCTTTCTGCTTGCAGTTCCTCCACACTGCGCTGCCGCTCACAGCGCACTCGGTGCACTTGAAGGCGACATCCAGGCTGGCTGGGTAGAAGTGAGACCCACCACAGTCGTTTCAAGTCTTCTGCACCAGAGCCCAGGCTAAAGCGGTGCCCAGAGCACCCCAAACTGAAAAAACCTCTGTATTACCCAGGTCCCCATTAGCGAAGTAGCTGAGACCCCGCGGCCGTGCGCAGCACAGCAGCACGGGTTGAATTTCCTTGCCTGTGTTCAGCCAAGCCCTTGATGATTCCCCTTTTTCAGCTCCCTTAAAGAAACTTCAGGGCAGGGGGACAAAATTAGCAGCTATTTGACACGTTAATAGCTGGTTTTCTCTTTGCCTAGGCGCCTTCCCTGGATAATGAGCAGGGTGTCCGTGCGCGTTCCCGAGGGCTTGGTGCTGGCAGTGCCGCGCGGAGCCACCTTTGCTGCCGGCACCGAGTTCACCCCCACAAACCGGCCCCGCAGCGCCGAGCCGGGCGCTTTTCTGCTGATTGTCACTCAGACCCCTGCTAAAAGCAATTTATTTAAATTGCATGGTGTCTTTTAGCCTTCAGTTAAGTGGCATCTTTCATGAAATTTCCTCCCTCATTCCCACATTATTCCTGCTAAAAAAAAAGGCTGTGCGAGGGGCGGTGAGATGATAGAGGCGGCTTCGTGCGGGTGGGCGACGCTCCGCACCGGTGAGGGTGGCACCGCGTTGTGTTCCTGGAGCAGCCCAAGGGACCTTCCCTTTCTCTTGACATGTAGCGCAAATGGGACCCACTTGAGGAGTGAGCAGACAGGGACGATCTTGCAGTGGGTTTGGCCGCTGGGGATTGCCATGGGCAGCATCTTCTCTTCATCCTGGGTCAAACCTGTCTCGCTGCCTCCTGCACCATCCTCCTCCTGCACTTCCGAAGGCAGCTGAAATGTAAATGTCTCCCATTTCCAAATGCAGTCCTAATGTACGCAGCTCTGCGCTAAGAAGCACTCAGATAATAAGAGGCATTTAGAGTTTACACACTCCAAGTGCCCCATTTTAAGCATTTGAAAGACTAAAGTGCACTTTAATTGGCTTTCTTGGAAGCTCTAATGTGTGACAGAAAAAGCGAGCAGGGGCCGAACGGAGCAGGGAGCAGGACGCTCCAGTTTTAATCCCACGTTACCCTTTCAACCCTGGGGCATCTGTAAGACGTTTGGGAACAGCTTCCTTACCCGTGTACTTGGTTTATGTTTTGCCATGAATGTTTCACCT